TTCTCGCTGTCGGACCTGGCGCCGGGCCGCGATTACGAGCTCTGCGTGCTGGCCGTGTTCTCGGACGCTCGGACGGCGCTGCCGGCCACGCGGCCCCTGGGCTGCTCGCGCTTCTCCACGCGGGCGGAGGCGCGGCCGTGCCGCTCGCTGCAGGCGCAGTTCCTGGGCGGGACCATGATCATCGTCATCGGCGGCATCATCGTGGCCTCSGTGCTCGTCTTCATCTTCCTCCTGCTGATGAAGTACAAGGTGTACGGCGGCCACGGCCCCAAGGCCCGCGGCAAAGCGCACGTCTGCTCGCAGACCAACGGCTCCCACAACGGCGCCCGGGCTGCGGCCGACGGGTGGCAGACGGAATGTTCTGGAACTGGAAATGCCAGYGGTGTCACCGCCAAGGGACGGGCAGGGGGGGATTGGGACGGGGACAAGGGGGACGAGGTGCCCGACTGAGCCGGGAGCGCTCCCGGGGTGTTCTGGAACAGCTGGAACATCTGGAATCATCCAAAACCGCTGGAATTGCCCCGGGAGCTCCCAGGGTGCATCTGGAACATCTGGAATCGTCCAAAACCTCTGGAATCACTCCGAGGGCACATCTGGAGATGTTCTGGAACATCTGGATCATTTGGAATCATCCAAAACCGCTGGAATTGCCCCAGGAGCTCCCAGGGTGTGTCTGGAGATGATCTGGAACATCTGGAATTGCTCCAGGGCACATCTGGAATCATCCAAAACCTCTGGAATCACTCTGAGGGCACATCTGGGGATGTTCTGGAACAGCTGGAATCATCCAAAACTGCTGGAATTGCTCCGGGATCTCCTAGGATGCAGATGGTCTGGAACATCTGGAATCACTCCAAAACCTCTGGAATTGCCCCAGGAGCTCCCAGGGTGCATCTGGAACATCTGGAATCATCCAAAACCTCTGGAATTGCTCCAGGAGCTCCCAGGATGCTCTGGAGATGATCTGGAACACCTGGAATTGCTCCAGGGCACAGCTGGAATCATCCAAACCCTCTGGAATTGCTCCAGGAGCTCCCAGGGTGCGTCTGGAGATGGTCTGGAACATCTGGAATCACTCCAAAACCTCTGGAACTCCAGAAGCTCCGAGATCACTCCGAGGGCACATCTGGGGATGTTCTGGAACGTCTGGAATCATCCAAAGCCTCTGGAATTGCTCCAGGAGCTCCCAGGGTGCATCTGGAGATGTTCTGGAACATCTGGAATCACTCCGAAACCTCTGGAATTGCTCCAGGAGCTCTGAGATTGCTCTGAGAGCACATCTGGGGATGTTCTGGAACATCTGGAATCATCAAACCAAAACCTCTGGAATTGCTCCAGGAGCTCCGAGATCGCTCTGAGAACCCCTCTGGAGCCATTCTGAACCTTCCAGAACCATCCAGAACCTCCAGGAATGCTCCAAGGACCCCTCTGGAGCCATTCTGAGGCTTCCAGAACCTTCCAGAACCTTCAGGAATGCTCCAAGGACCCCTCTGCAGCCACCCCGAGGCTTCCAGAACCTTCCAGAACCTTCCAGAACCTCCAGGAATGGTCCAGAACCTCCAGAGCTGCTCCAAGAACCCCTCTGGAGCCGTCCCGAGGGTTCCAGAACTTTCCAGAACCTTCCAGAACCTTCAGGAATGCTCCAATGACCCCTCTGGAGCCATTCTGAGCCTTCCAGAACCTTCCAGAACCTTCCAGAACCATCCAGACCGTCCGGAGCCGCTCCGGGGTCGGATTTTAAGCTTCACTCGCGTCTATTTTTAAGCTCAGATGGTTTCAAAGATATTTTTTTAAATCCTTGTCCACGGACATTCTTCGGGAATTTTCTTTGGGAATGTCGAGTCCCCCCGAGCTTGTGACTCCCGTGGGGATTTTTTT